AAAAAAAAAACTTATTTTATTCCCTTTCAGAAATGTTCAGAGAAAGTCGAGTACTATTTAATACCTATTTAATTATTAGGAATTAGCGAAATACTTTCAATAAGTATTTCACTAATTCCTAATAATTCTCTAATTTAAAATGAACCGAATAGATCATTAATTATAAATTGACTTACATTTTTCGATTTAAAAGATGCCTCAGAAGCCAAAAAATCATGTCATATTTAAGAAAGTGTTTTAGGAAGAAGCTCTATAAATAGAAAAGATATAATGCATAATTTTAATATTAATAATACAATAAACTTTGATCTTAATATTTGTACCTTAACCGAATAAAATCGAATTACCTTAATGTTTTTTTTTTCTAATGTAATTAACGAAAACTTGTGAAAATATTTCTTTCAAATTAAACCATTCTGAGAAAACTGTCCTGAGAAAAGTATAGCATTTAATTCCGTTCAGAATGAAAAGTTGTTTAAAAATATGTTGTTTTCACATACTTACGACTCTGAAGTGTTGTAGAAAAAGAAAATATATACATTTATATGTATATTTACGACGTAATAACAAAATATTTACATCCGAACGCGTCAAATCCCATAGCACTCAATGGTAAATGACCCAATGTTTTGGTCACCACGTAGGGATCGCCGGTGCTTCAGAGCAGGGTACAGGAGAAACTTGTTTAGGGCGACTCCATCTTACTTCCTACCTCCATGGTTGGAAACCACTGGTCTATGGTAAGAACACCTCCCGCCACGGTGTCTGGCGGGTGGCGGTCGCTATAGCAACAGGGCTAGTATATTTCAAATAGACACGAACCAAGGGTTGCTTTATTGTTATTTTGTTTTTGGCGACTGGTGGCTGAAGGAAAAAGAGTTTATCATTCGTCTTCTCGGTTTCATTCCAGCTGCACGCATTATATTTTCTTAAGCCTTATATTATTACTAATAGCTATTAATTCTCGATGTTATATCTTTTGTACTGGTATTTGTTCAAATCTGCTTCTATTTAGCTTGATTTTCGTAGTGCTTTGTAAATCGCCAATTTTTTAAAATGCCCTTCCAGTTTAAGAAAGGTCAACCTTTAAAGTCTCAGGCACGTCAAATCGTGTACAATGTCGCAGCATGTTGCGCTTCTGAAGGTTCGGCGAACTCTTTAGTAGTTCCTCTTCCTCAAGTTTTGAAGAGAATATCGCAAGCTACTGGAGTATCGGAGTATACAATTAAAAAAATTAAGCGCGAAGTATCAACAATGGGTGAAGATAAACTTCTAAATACGCCTGGAAAGAAACGTAAAAGCTCTACTAATCATAAGTGCGAAATTGATGATTTTTACAAATGCGTTATACGGCTGACAATACAAGACTTTTACATCAAAGAAAAGAAAGTGCCATCTGTGCGGAAATTACTGCCTGTCTTGAGGCAAAAAATAGACTTCCCGTGGCAAAATGACTCTTTGTGCAAAGTTTTGCATTCAATGAATTTTCGCTGGAAGAAATGCGTTGACAAAAGAAAATTTCTTATTGAAAGACCTCACATTGTATTTTGGAGGAACAATTATTTACGCGAAATGAGGAAACTCAGAGCAAGTGGACGCCACATCTTTTACATCGATGAAACATGGATTGACAGCAATGAACTGTTGAACTGTTGACAGCATGATAGGGTTTTGGGCGCACAGATAAATGTCAGTTCAAAAAATAGACTGATTGTTGTCCATGCTGGCTCTTTCGCAGGATTTATTCCAGGTGCCCAACTTGTATATAAAGCATCAGCTCAAAGCGGGGATTACCATGGGCAAATGAACTATGGAAATTTTGAAAAATGGGTGTTGGAAAAGCTTCTTCCAAATTTACGACCCCAAAGTGTGGTATGCATGGATAACGCCCAGTATCACACAAAAATTGAAAATCCGACACCCACGAAATATGCTACAAAGCAAACAATGGTTAATTGGCAGATGAAGAAGACGATACGCTGCGATCCCAAAATGCGAAAAGCGGAACTATTTAACTTAATAGAATGCAATCGTCCTAAAAAAGTAATCTATAAAATTGACAACATCATAAATGAAAATGGGCATCATGTTGTGCGTCTCCCTCCTTACTGCTGTGATCTAAACGCAATTGAATATGTTTGGTCATCAGTTAAAAGACTGATCAGGGAAAGGAATGTGACTGGGGACTTAAGCTTACCATTTGGAAAATTTGAAAAATTTAACACAAAAAGCTTTGGATGAAGTCACTTCTCAAGAATGGTAGGCGCACTACAACCACGTAGAAAAACTTGAAAATTCTTATTGGGACAAGGACGAACTTCTAGAAGAGATAGTGGATGAATTAATAATTCAAACTGGCAGCAGCTTCCGATTCTGATTCAGATTCAGGAGAAATGGAACCTTGCGGACAGCGTTTCAGACGACTTTTCAGTGTATACCTCTATAAACGACTTTTCAGATGTTATACCTCTATAAAAGTCCTCCACCGAAGGACATCCTTCTTCTTCATCCGACGGCTCTCTCAAGTTATGAGGATATTTCTAGGTTCAGTATTTTCTTTGCCACTATGTAAATAAAAGACTACCAAAAGTGGGCAACAATGAGCCTTCGGCAGAGGCGAAGATAAAACCCCCTTGTGGATAATGGATAAGAGAACACTGACATGGTTGCTTCATTTCCCATTACTGTGTTCTTGGGGACCCACAAGCCATGGTATAATTTGCTTAAAAAATAATTTTTAATCTTTAATGAAAATTAAATAAGTTTCGTTTTATTATGAAAATATTAATACAAAATTATATTAATGCAACAGAGCTCACTGCAGTTATAAAAGCCAAATTTTTGTATAATTATATAAATTTCGCATAATTTTAAATATAAGATAGGTAACTGAAATAATTTAAGGAGACCTTAATTTTGTTCCTGATTTTAACATTTTATTATGCTACTAGCTATTACACTGTGCTATAAAAAGCAGCATAATACATAAATGGGCGCTGGGTAATTAAGGGGCCCAGCAGCGACCGATCGGTAAAGTCAGTGAACACTTGTAGTTCGGTCCGAGGTTTGAATCTCGTGAACGGGCTGGCTGCATGGGCGTTTTACCCCTTTCCTTCGCTTCCTTTCACCATTAAATTGACCAGCTTTTGGTTTAGTTTGAAGGTATGGGAAAAGAATAAATGTTCGCAGAAAGTATTTATTGATAGCCTGGATATGTAAATAAATGCTTTTACTTTCAGATGATTCCATATACATTTAGCGATGAAATTTTTAGTCATAATTAAAGCACAAGCAATAAATTAATAGAAAATTTTGAAATAAAAACATAGCAGAACATCATTTAAAGACTGAAGAAATTGCTTAGAATGTTCACAGTAGATTGATTAGCTAAAGGGAAGAACTATAAAAATTTAATTTATTTTACATTTATGAAGTGCGTCTATACTATATTACAGAGAATAGGGCAATCAAGTAGATTTCTAAGATTTCATCTAGGATTTTGCAAGCAAACAAATAAACAAAAAAGAAGCAAAATAATAGCATGATTTTTTTAAATGTAAAAATTAATTTTTCTTCTTCAAAAATAAGCACGGATTTTTAAATGTATTTCTCTACAAGTTATTATGATATATTTTTACTCATTGTACATATAGAAGGATGGCAACAACTTGTACCTCACACGGCAAAATCAAAGACCGTTTCTTGACTGCAAAAACTATCTATGCCATCGAATTTTCATTTTCTGAAATTGAATGTTGGGGGTCGACGCAAAGGATCAACGAGCATTTTACTTGAAACTAAAACAAAATGTGAATATTGCCAAATCATCTTTAAATGCACCAAGATGGCACACTGAGAAGTAAATCTTCAAGACACCCCTACGAAAAATGGCTCAGGGCTCGTTTCTACGGCAACAGACAGCCACAGACAAACTGGGGATAGCTGTTCTTACCATAGACAGACAGTAGTGTATAAAGCCTTATTGCTATCAAAGATGACATAACATGAGTATGTCATTAATATGCAAAGCAATATTTTTGTTCTTCATCTATATCAATATTTCATCTAGATTCTTCTATTCCACCTTCATCAGTTAGCACTGTTAACCACCATATCACTAGGTCAGAGAAGAGTTTGAGTCCCAGAGAAGACCTGAATGTTTGTAAATGCACAGTGTCTTTGTGGTATAGAGGTACTTAAAATACATGGTGAGCTCAACACCATCTAAAAGAGTTTGGTGATAAGGAAATAAAACCTTCAACAAATCACCCCAGAGATTTGCCTTCAAAATTGGGATGGAACTGGGCAGAGCCACACTATCAGCTATAATGTGTCCAAGGCCCATGCCGATGACAGATGCAATTCTGTGCTTCTTACTATAATTTCTTACTATAATAAAATTTTTAAATTCTTCTGCACGTTTAATTTTTTCATTGTTTTTTTTTTCAAAATCTCTGCAAAACCTTAACAATTATCTTCATCTGATCACATTTTTACTAAAATGCGGAAAAGGGTGTTTTTTTTTATTGTTTTAAGAAAGAAAAGTATTATTATAATAAAAATATATTTATTGTTATACAGCACATTAAGAAATTAACTCATATCAGTTACAAATGTATTGCACTGCACATTAAGAAATTAACTCATATCAGTTACAAATAAATGTATTGCACTGCACATTAAGAAATTAACTCATATAATTTTTAAATGTATGATATATAGGTAAGTATGATCTTGACATGCTAAAATATAACTACGACAGACTTAAGAACTGGATTCCTAATTTTCAGTTTATATGCAAAACTTATGAACATTATAACTTCAAATACCTCGTAATTCAAATACCTAGTTTATTTGAATTACGAGTACATTTACTTACAGTATTTATTTGGATAACACACTAGAAGAATGTTATGCTTAAATTCCTAAATTATTTTAAGATTTTAAATTATTACAAAGAAAAATTACTAACAAACTATTTGAAAATAAAGAACTCCGTATGAATATTACAAACTTTAATTTTTAATAATATACAAATCTTAACAAGAGTTTATTTACATGAAGCATTTATGTTCTTATATAAAGTGAATGATCTGCTGGTCCAAGATATCCAGTAGCTATTAGAATAACATCGACTAATGTCCATACTCCAAGTCCACCAAAACTGAATAATTTACCAATGCCTTCTTGCCACATACCTAGATAGAAACGATCCACACCAAATCCACCAAAAACAATACTGCAAATGCATCAAAGGTTTGCAATTAAAATTCACATATAGAAAATAAAGTATAATAGCATTAAAATACACTTTATTATATTCATGCCTTTTTAATACATTTTATTTAGTTAGAAATCTATCTTTCTTACCTCAAAAGTAAAGCTGTCCCCCAGTTATATCCTTTTGTCCAATTGCAAGGCACATGCTTAGCAAATGTTCGCTTGCCTGTTGACAAATTATATTTAAACTATATTATTTAAACTATCATGAATTTTAAAATATATTACAAAAATTTAAAGTAAAAATTGGTAATTACTTGAGAATGATGCAAAGTTATCAAATATTTTCATAATAAAATAATTATCTGTAAGAATACCAATGCAATGCATTAATTTAGCTATGCATAAAATAAAGAGATTTTCAAATATTTAGAAATTTTATTTAAAAACAAATACATGCATCATGCCACCACCTTTTGTGCTACCACCTAAATCTGTATTAATACATTATTATTCATGTGATAAAAAATAATGGTATATATATTCGAAATTAATGGGTTTACTATACTGTGATTTACACAGTTGAAAGAACTCAAGCTTTAGTACACCTCTATGTACATGCCATTTGGAATTTGACTATCTCAGGGCAATATTTTATATATGTCATTCTACACATTCAAAAGCATCACAAGTGTGATTTAGTCATATCTTTTCCATAATTCAAGCATGCAAAACTAAATAAGACAAGTCTCTTCCATGCCAATCTTTCCAGTGGGCAAAATGTTTTGAGTTGTTTCCACCTGTGTAAACAACACAATAAACATGATGTTAATGAAACAATACCCCTTCAATTTTGTTACTACATTAAGAGAACATCCTATATATAGATACTGGGCACTAGGAAAGTTCTGCAATACAACATTATTTTTGTAAATTTTTTAAAGCATTTTACTTGAAACTAAAACAAAATGTGAATATCGCCAAATCATCTTTAAATGCACCAAGATGGCACACTAGGAAGTAAATCTAATAAATAAATGAAACCGTTTTCGACCTAGAGCAATGGCACAAAGTCGCAGAATAGGAAAGGGTACTCTTAACAATTTTATTCTAGTGTTGACCTAATACATGGAACATACTTCAAAGCAGTGCACTTGAGTATTTTCATGATAAAGAAACCATGTGTCCAAACTTAAGTTTGGATGAAGCTTTTTGAAAGTTTTGACAACTTTAGGAAAGTTTATTCTCAGCATACCACTTGCATATGACTGTATTCTAATTTCTCAACACAGCTTGCACAAAAATTCCTTTCACACTAAAGAATGCAGCTACTGTTTATTCTCTTCTTCACTAGTCTAGAATTCTGAAGAATCATGGGATGTCTCCTCATGTTCAAACACTATTCTAAGGTTTGGTCAGGATATCATAACAGTACATCCAAGTTTTGTCACCTGTCACAATATCATTCACATATCCTATGTCAATTTTTATATTCACATAATTACATTTTTATACATTTTTATATGTGAAGATTTTTTTCATTTTAAAACTTTTTAGCATTTTACAGCACCATGAAACACAACATGCCATCTGATTGCCTGTCAAGTAACACAGCAAAAGGTACAAATTTTTCTAAATTACAGACTGTCTCATAAACTAGCACAAATTCCTGATAATTAATATCGAAGGGCACTTCTATTTGGTGGTAGGTCATATCACCATCTGTCTCAAGATTCTTTATACTGCATCAATGCTTTTCTCAATCATAGATAAAAATGGTTGACTTGATTTTGCAGTATCCTTTAAGCTAAAATTTCCTCTTTCAAATTCTCATTGCAACCTAAATATTATCATACATTAAGGAAAATTTTCTTCAAGCACAGGACTTATTTCCTCTAAACTTTAATCAACTCTTGATGCTCATGCAAAACTGTAGAGGAAAATTATTTAGTATTCAGTGTTTGAACACAGTGACATAGCTACCTTTCTTCACTAGCACAGCCAAAAAGCAATGGGCATTGGGTGCAGGGTGACACATGTCTTAACATGCAATCTCCCATAATGATCCATTTTTTCATAATTCAGAAATTTGCTAGTGCTCTTTGTGTGTGTATTTGTGTGCGTGTGTGTGTGCAGATACACATATACATGCTTTGAAAGCTCAGCTCATTCGAATCGCCATTGAACCATTCTTCGATGTTTTCACTATCAATATTTCTGAAGAATTTTACATCTTCAATTTTTTAGCATACAATAACAATTATTGCCTCGACTTCTTCAAAATTAGATAAATTCTCAATTTCTATATTATTAGGAAAAAACTTTCTCCCTGATCAAACCAGTGTTTTATTTTCAACCAAGTTCTGACTGCTTTGTACATGGCATCCAATATAACAAACTTTTTCCGGAACTTTATTAAATCATCATCTTCCTCAGTAAGAGTTATGAAAAGACAAGAACAGTAAAATCATTTCACTGCTGATATTACACTTTGATTCATTGGCTGAATTAAACTTGTAATATAAATATTTAGCCATCATTAGACCATCTGTTGTTTTTCATACTCTTGTACACACAGATAAATGTGCATGTGTGGGCACCACCACACCTGGATAATCTACAAACTTGAGAACTTCTTCTGAATAAATGAGTAATTCTGTAATTTCAATAATAAAATACACTAACTTCTTCAATTAAAATATGCTATAAATATAGTGTATTTCTGTTTAAAAATTAATTTTAATGTTTATATAAGAAAAAAAAAACTTTTGTTATATTTACATGTCCAATTTTCTAAAAATCAAAATTCAGTTTGTTTACATCCAAAAACAGAATGCATTACAGACATTCTAGGATTAAGCAGTCATGGATTATGGAAGTTCTACTACGTGTGCGTGTTTATATGATTTTTTGCGGTTTTCCTCATGTGTAACATAAATATGAGCATGTTTCTCTTAAAAGTCCTCTTTCGAAAGGCCTTATCTGCTTAAGGAGAGTTATTTCTCCCCTTAAGCTGATAATCTTCACAAGCTTATGCTTTGCTGTCCAACATACATATACAATATATAGAGAGAAATAAAGAAATTTAGAAACAATTTTTCATAAATAACAAAAAAAAATTAAATTCAAATAAATAAATTTAAAAATATCCTATAAATGGAGTATTAGGTTAGGTTAGGTTATTCAATTACGGCAAAGCCTCGAGGGCTATCTGCCTAAGGGGAGGGATGCCTTTCGTGGAGGACTTTCTAAGGGAAACTGGCTCGTATACACGTTACACATGGGGAAAACCACGAAAACACCCATGCAGCCAGCCCGTTCGCGGGATTCGAACCTCGGACCGAACTACCAGTGTTCAGCGACTTTACCGCTCGGCCGCTGGTGGGCCAAATGGAGTATTAGAAATATGTAGATGCTAAAAGTAAATTAAAATAAACTATCACAAGAAAAACCAAAAACAGAGAAAATAAAAAAGAGCATGAAAGAAGAGGAATTCAGTCAACTTCATAATGTTGTCAAAAGGAAGTATGGTGAAATGAATTACAATACGAAACAAAATGAAATTTAAAAAAAAAAAAAACGATGCCCCAGAAAGGCAGTTAACCTTATGTTTTTAATTGAAGAGTATTCCTAATCCAAACAATAAAATCTCTCCTAATTCTCTTTCTTACCATTTTTCTATTTATGCTGCCCTTTCTCTTTTGTACAGATTCAGTAAAATTAAATTAGTTTTCAATTATTTTATCTGTTTAATATTGTGTTCAGCTTTTATGTCTTAGATTTGTGCATTTCCATTTGGTTTTGTGTAATGAACTTGTCCACAAAGTAAAGTTTATGCATAGGTTGTAAATTTTAAGTAAGCTATAAGCAATCATGTCCAGGAATGGATTAATCCTTTTTATTTATAGGGGAAATAATTTTAGTTTACAAATATTTTGAATGGAGAATAGCCTTCAGAAACAAATTCTTGAACTACGGTTTTACTGTATTTAATTTTCAAACGTCAGTTATTAAACAGTAAAATGTTTTTACACAATGTGATTAATAATCATCAGTACCAACAAAAGTATAAAGTTTTTTTATGTCTTTTTTATTAAGTTTCACTGCCTAGATAGTGAGAAAAAGGAGTCTTCATTATAAAAATAATATATATAATAAATATGACACCAAAATGTACAAAAAAACTTTTTAAAAAAATTATTAAAAAAAGTTCAGAAATACAGCAGTATATATTCCTGTAGCACTTCCCAGAATGACTACACTAATAAAAATGTTTAACTTTTTTTTAGTAAGCTAATTTTAAGTTTATTTTTGAATTTAAAAGTTGCCTCTGATTTAAAATATTTTTAATCACTAACAGAATATTAATTAAATTAATCAATATATTCACATGAAGATCATAATAAAAATCTATAAATTGCGATATGGATATGGTTAATTAATAATACAGTAATTTAACATACTCTGATACATTTGATACAAAGGTCACTCTGAAATTTTTTAGACATGTGCAGATGATTAGTGGAAAAAAAATTATGGTTATATTTGAAAATATGAACTATTTTAGCATAGCACGGAATTCTTTATTCGCCAGTTGTGAGTAGGTTAGCGTAGAATAAATTTTAGCAGAAAGAAAATGGAGTTGACACAAGAACACCATTGGTGATAAGATTTTCTATGATTTTGAAGTGGGGTTAAATCAAGAACAATGTGTTCAATGTCTCAATTATCATTTGTGCATCTCATGTTACTATATTCAGAAGGTTTACAGACTTTCACATATGTCTCAACTCTCTTCAGGATGCAGAACACACGGGAAAGCTGTCGTCAGTAATAATTCTCGGATAATGTGTCTGTCATGCAGGAAATGTTAATCAATGATAATCGTTGCACCTATCAAATGATATAGAAGGAATTAACATTGGATCTGCCCCCATATATGAAATTATTCATGAAGAATTGCATATGAAAAAACTAGTTTGCCATTGGGTTCCCCATACTTAAACTGAGCACCAAAAAGAGCAGCGTATCAGAATCAGTAAAGATACATTTAAATTACTTCAAAGTTGTGGCCACCCCATTACCACCAGTTATGATTCTAAAATTTTAATTGGTAATGAAACATACATACCATTTTTTGACATTTCAACACATCAAGAAAGTAAAGTATGGATCCTTGAATATGACCTTATGCCCACAATGGTAAAAAAACAACGTGCCATGAAA